TGATATAAGGGCAGAAGGAGCACATATGGATTCATTTGCTACTGCACATATAACAGAACGTTTTTATTTCATCCGTCCCTCCCATAGACATTACCTATATACTGTAAATACACATGGCTGTGAACATTCTATTTAAACAATATTAAAAATCTGCAATGTTCCACGAGTCCTTTCAACTTTTCATCTCCGTTGTTTTTTTCTTCCTATGGATGAGAGTTTGACTCGGGCAGTATAAGCGACAGCAGCTGTGAATTCCCTCAAAGCAAATCACCAGGCATGTCTGTCTCTTATTGACCCACATCAGGAATCTCCACCCACCACCTGCAAGACGGCGGGCTCATTTTAGCCGGCAATAAATATCAATGTTACATATCAATAAACCTATCAGAGAGATGGGTAGAAATAGCAGGGAGGAAAAGGGGTTAGATTGAAAAGGGGGATGGATGTGAGGAATGAGAGAGGACCGAGTTGGGAGAATGGAAAGAGAAAGAGAGACAAGAAGAAAGTGAAGACTGCTTGTCTGTTTTGGCCCTGTGGAATGGTTCCTCCTGGGATAGCCGAATACTCTGTCAAGATTCTACACTTCAAAATCAATCACTCTCGACTGAGCTCAAAGAGAACGATACACGCGTTCACATGCACGTGCACACTCACACACGCGAACATATGTACATACAGGCAGTGTCTTCTCTCCTTGTCCGGCTTCAACAAGACAGCATGTGATAGTGGGGCTGTTGTGATTCCATGACAGAGTAAGAGGAGGGGACATCAGATCACCAACATTCTACAAAAACAGAGACATTACAGAAAATAGATATGATAAAAAACTGAAAGTAATGGAGAAGGAGTGAAAAGGCTCAAAGTAATGCATAAATGGTTGAAACTTCACACTCCAAGTGGTAGTAGTATGAATGTAAATTTGACCTAACACGGCTAAACATTGACAGTTAAATTGTAAGAAAAAAATATATAGTTACAAAATCCACTTTTATAACAGTAGTGTGAATAGAGTTGATAACAGTACTTAAGTTCATCTGACAGAGCTGTGGTATATCAGACATAAAAGGTGGGGAGCCACTGATCTACAGAACAAGTTATTTCAGTTTATGTATCTGATATGGATCAGTTAAGTTGTGAGTGACTATATTTTCATTTGAAAACTTCTGCTTTTTTAGTAAAGTCCTTTAACCCCACCAACCTTGAATAGTCCAATCAAACTCCAGTTTCTCTACCACCAGATTTCTGTTGTGATCTTTAACAAGCTGCTTTATAAAATCTTCACACATCCTTGTATTGCATTTTGTCGTGTTGTAACACTATGCAGCCAGCAGCCTCTTTGGTTTCCAGATCTTCTAAGGGAATAACCGGAGAATTAAACACACACCAAAGGTAGTTTCAGTAAGACCTCATTTTTCTCACTGTGAAGTTTCCAGACTTGGAGTTCTGTATCTTGTCTCCCTGTTGGGATCATTGGGTGGATAGCACTTGTGAATCTTCTCCCAAACAAAATAAGATAACACAAAGTCCTGCTATCTGTAGATAAAAGTGAAATACTGTGCCGTCTAGTGGAAAAAAGAGGAGGGAGACAAAGAAAGGAGCAAAAAAGTTCCATCATATAATGGAGTTTAGAAGTTTTATTCTTTACTTTTCCTCTCCAGAAGCTACCAAGGTCATGTTCCCGGGCCAAAAAACACCTTCATATAAAAAAGAGATTATTTTTTTCAGAGCTCTGCACCAATAGTAGAATTCTTGCATTTATTTTTTACTGCCTTCAGGAGATCAATCTTAAGTAAGTGCCATCTGAGATCTTTGTGGTTCCCAAATGCTCTTGGCTCAATTCAATTGTACTGAGAGATGTAGACAGCTGCATTATGATTCCAGGAAGACCTGTTTAAACTGTGATCCATGTCTTCACATGTTTGAATCTGTCTCTATTGGATTTCACGACTCATTCATCCACCAGTCAGTGTAATACAATATCATCTGTGGCGAACATTTTCTTTCATGGATAAAGCCAAGTTATTGATGAAGTATTCATCAAGACACAATGGTGTCGTGTGTATGTACAATGTATATAACACTCTATGGATGCTTTTGCATGTTTTCCAGTTTTGGATCTAAATGAGAAATGTATTCTCAAAGAACCCAGGCTCCTTAAAACACATTAGTATCCTTGTCATGTCAGGAGAAAACAGATCAGTGCTTGCAACTTATTTTGGGCTGTGATTAAAAGTTAAACACACCATGATTTTAACAATTTCTAGCTGTTTAAAACCCAAAGTAGTTGAGATACAGTGATTATATTAATTAATCACAATACAAACTTTCTCCACTAATAGCTCGTAATGTGTTCGTATTTGTTTAAAATGACAAAACCCACAGAAAACAACCCAGTGACTGACATTGTGTGCTGAATTTCACCTTGTGTCAACCGATATATAATGCATGTACAATACTGTACATACTGAAATTGAATATCTCTCATTTGATATGCATATGTATGGACATTATGAGACACAATGAAAACAGTGGCTTTGCAGTAGTGAGATGTGCTTTAATGGCAAGATTGTTAGTCCACTATTCCTGTGGATATATAGTAAAAGAAAAAAAGCATCTAAGCACTTCAGAGAAATTCAAAGCAGGGCTCCATGCAGTTTTGTTTTGGTGTAGATTTAGATATAGAAATAACATACAAGCTACATTTGCACACACTCTGATCAGTATTTATTTTTTACTTTCGATGTTTGACCTTTGTCAAGACTTCAGTCACGCATTGACACAGTATACATGAATGTACACATTAGTAACTAAATTGAAAATTGTTTCTCCATAAACATATGTGTGCAGGCTTCAGGTTCTACTGGTAAAACAGGATTCTGTGAGCACCAAAAATGGGATAAACTAAGTAAAATGATATCAGAATCTACTTTTTACTGGTGGTACCTAAACTGTGGCTAGATAAATCTGAGTGCTCACAAGATAATTACACAACAACAAAGAAAATAAGAATATAGCAAACCAACAAACAAAAATACACAAATGATTTTTTTTTCTCTATGGTGGTTAGTTTGACCTCTTTAAGCCTCCAAAAAGGATTCAAATGAAACAATCACTCTGTGGTCAAACTGCTTGCAGCTCAGAAACACACAATTGGTGTCAAGGGGTGGCAAGACGAAAGGTTGGAAAACCACTGTTTTGTCACATTACATAAGCTGTGTGATCACCTTCATCTTATGGCGAAGCTTTTCTGTAGCTAAAACATGCCTACAAACTGTGCTACTATGGATATGAACTGCTTCTGCATGAACTTTGTCATGCATGTCCAGAATCTGAGGTCAAAATATTAGAAGTTATCAACTAGAAAGTACATTTGTTGGGAATTTGAGACTTAAGGAAAAATATATTAAGATTGTGCAGCTGTGTGACAGTCATCAAAGACCTGAAGGAAATACTCACACCACATGCCTGTCAACAGGGGTTCAACCTTGGGCTTATCTGTGTCATTGCATCTATCTGGATGCAATTAGCCATTGGAGAACATGAAAATGAAATAAACCACAAACCCACAGCAGTTTATTTCATTATATGGCTAATTGTCCCAGTGTATTTTTTTAAGTTAAGCTTTTTCTGCCAGCAGCAGGAATGACTGGATATCTTGCACAAGATTTCGTGTTGCATCAAGTTGATGCCATGACATGTTGGAGCTATTTTAGCACTCCTGAGACACATTTTGTTGATGTTTCCTTTCTTTTGCTAGTTACCTGTAGATGTGCCACTCCTGGCTCCAGGGCATCCTTTGTCTCATCACAAAAGCCACTAGCAGTTGATACAAACATCATTGGACACTCTTGGAATACACACAATCTCACCTGTCACACTGTAACAATCACATCGACAACTTGGTGCAAACATGAGGTGTAAAAATGTACACAGACACAGCCATCAGCTTGGATTCCTGTCCCACACGACCACTGACGTGTGTGTTTGTGTGAGCGTGGCTGTGTGTATTTGTGTGGGGTGTGTGTGTATATTTGTGTGTCTGTCTGTCTGTGAGGGGATAGGTGGAGGCCATCTTTCATCTCTTGCTGTGATCAGGTATTCTACATGATATGATATGATGATACAGGCCCAATTAAGGGATGGGGTTGTGTGAAAAATGTGATGACAGGGCAAGCGGAAGACTAGACTGTGATCTGACATCTGAGAGGGAGAGAAAGACAAGGGAGAGGGAGCGGGAGATAGGTAGCAAGAGAATGGGTGAGGGAGGGGGAAGATGTGGGGGGAAAGACGGAACTGAAAGACGGTTGTAGGAAAGAAGGGAAGAGTGATGCTGGTGAAGGAAATGAGGATGGGGTAAGCGTGAGAAAAATAGTCAGAATGAATGTTATTAAGGAGGGACAGAGAGAATTAATATGATTAGGAAGGAGTAGGGAAAATTGAGAGTCACATAAAGATGAATGGAGAGTAATGAAAGATAGCAATGATTTGTCAGAAATGTTATGGGTCCTACTTTTGAGCCCTCTTGTTGGAATGTGAATAGAAGTTTGGGGAAACTGACAGGGAGACAAAAGTCAGATTGTTCTATTTTTCAAAAATTTTCAAAAACACAAACCTGACTAGTAGCATGGGGAAGAAAAAGCAACAAAAGTAGATGTAGAGAAGATGCATAGAATCACTCTGGGTTTTAATTATTGTTTAAAATTTTCCACTTACAGGCACATTTGATTTGACAGGCATACAGAAGTACACCAAAAAAATAGAACACAATGCGGATTGGAGCTGCTTTTAAAAAAGGAGGCTTCTTGGTACTGTCTGAAATCTGTTTCTTCACATTTCATAAGTCTGTCTGGATCAACTACACCTGTGTCAGCTGTACGATTTTGATCAGGATGCACGGTGCTTTGATCACCCTGCCAGCTTTTATCAGCACGCATGCTCTTTTCATAACCAAATAGGACCCAATTATGTCAAGCACATTGTTCTTTACCTGGAGTGCCAAAGCACTACACCGAAAGGAGGAAATAACGCACACTAAAACATTACTTAAAAGGAATAAAATGCCTTTATTTAGCTGTCAACAAATATACTTGTTAGACTCAATCCATTACATGAAATAAATTTTGACGTGTAGAACATTTTTATCCTATTTCCCAAGTATTGTCTCATATAAATATAAAAAAGTCACAGTATTTGTCTGTTTGGTCAACAATCTTATAAAACCAGATGACAGAAATACAGAGATAAAGAGTACAGTGCAGGTCCAGGTGTCGTAATTTGAAGCTCCTGGAGCTTGTGAGATTTATGAGCAGACATCTTGACGCTCTTGTCGTGATGAAATCCTCTCTCATTTACCTACAAAAGAGAAAAATGAAAGTGATTTAGTGAATTTTCCCCACATCCTGTAACATTTTCACCTGCAAATCTTCACTTAGAAACTACTCTTTAAGTGTGAGACAAAATCATCAATCCCTGCCAGAGGGGCTCTTACAGCAACCTGTTAGTCGCAGTTTATCCGCAACAAACACATAACCTCTGTGTGTACAGTTTTCCATTGCTAAAGCATGAGGCACAGCACTTGTTGCAGAGTTTCATCACATCCCAAAGCAAGCTCCTTGAATAAAAGGAGTTCAGTGAACTGTGAGTTCCCAGTGTACTTGACGGTGACAAAGGCCTCAACAATAGCTGCTGACATTAGTCCCCCTCATATCACACTGCACTTTCCTCCCATTGTTCTCCCTGCACTTCTCACATGTATTGTCTTACGTGATATCCTTAGATAGAACCTGATAAGATGCCTGGTGCAAGTTTTTGTAGCTGAGGACACAGTCCTGGGAGTGTCTCAGGGTTACAGCTGCTTATTATTCTCTTATAGAGGAGACTGGGAGACTGTAGGGTCTGGGGAACGCCTTATCGGATACCCTTTACATCCAGCCTAACCTGGGTTACCTGCACTTCCAGCCCTTCCTCCATTACTCTTGCCATACCTGACACTCCCTTCCTTCAGAAAGATGTTATAGTATTACATTTCTTCGAAACCATAGAGCTTGTTGACAAGCATAGGAGGTATTCTGGGGCCCAATACAAATGTATAGGCTGTACAGAACAGCTGGGGCCATTTAAGACAGTAAGGATGCCTGACTGACTCATTTAAATCTTCAATGTATGGTGTCATTGTTTGCATCAGACAACAAAAGCCGGGCAACACATCATTTTAAGATCCCACGACTTCAACAGAGATTTATTCTAAATGTATTTGCTGATTTATCTTGTCAGACACTTGAAATCTCTTGAAAGTGGATTACGTCCCTTGCAAGTTGCTATAAGTCAGCAACTCCCCTCAGTTTTTTCCAGGAATTCAAAATGTACAAAAGTACTGTTTTGGCCAGGCTGTCTCCTTCAACAAATTTCTCTGATGTTTGGCTGACAGCACAGAACAGTTTGGGGGTTGGCAGAGGGTCCCTGGGCCATCAACAGCCAAACTTAGCCCAACTCCAAAAGATGAAGGAATGTGGATTCAGACAACTCAAGTACACCACCCTGCCTGCTCACAGTACCTCAAGGGCACACACTTCTGCCTGTCTATCTGTGGCAGCTGATCTTAGTCAAAGCTACATGTGCCTCTCTCTACATCCTCCTCATCTTCTCTGCTGACACTGCGATTTCATGCTTGTATATAAGGATGATGTCCGCAGTATGCACTTTGGTCCAGGGCCTTGCTGAGGTTTCTCAGTTTCTCTGACATTTTGGTTACATCAAACAAAGCATTTGACGGTTACCAACTGAACAGATAGATTAGAGCTTGATGTTTATGAGGTACACTGAAATAGCTGCAACAATGCTCTTAATATAGGTTGATCAACTTTTTAAGCATTTGACATTTCTGGTTCATCAATCAATCAGTAATGTTAAGCATGTTTGCCACGGATAGCTAGGAAAAAGATTTCAGTCTAGGTGTTAGATAGACAGACATGTTGACGAGACAGAAGGAAAATTACTGTAAACAACACTCTTCATGACAAACAATATATGCAAAAGTAATATAGAATAGTTTCTTTCTTGCCTTTACATCCTTCCTACACTCAAACCTGCCTGCCCAGCTCCACACCTGCACAGATGCAAACATCATATTTTTTCGTCAGTTGTTTTGTTTATATATGAATTTACTATAATTGCCAGGTTGTCCCAGTTTAAGAATCAAACTGGTGGAAACTGGTGAACATACTGATGTCTAAGCCACCAGGAACAACAGCCAAAACATGGAAAATGAAACAAAAGAATATTGTGTGGTTTAATGTAATTATTTTTAACACATATTGTAACTCCCAAAATAACACATCTAGAAATTAAGTGTAATGAAAAAAACTATATAACTAACTATATCATTGTTTTGTCATTCTAATTTTGGAGATTATTCGATGCCAGAAGACCCAGATGCTGTATTGTTGTCATGCTCTCCATCACAATGCACATTTATGTGGAAAAATACAGGAATTTTTGGGAGTGGTCTTCCCTCATTCACAAACGGATTACATGTCAAAGTGTCCCTCGGGAAATTGACAAAGGCAGAAAGTAGTGCTTGGTGTTGCCCTAAGTCTGATAACAGGGTGGAGGAGTTGTATGCCTTGCTCTCCTTCTGCTAACTACTCCCAGTAGACTGCAGTCAGATGCCTCCACTCTCCATGAGGAGGCAACTGATGCTACTGCTGATCTGCAGACTTGACTGAAGCTTATCAGAACTGGAAGGAAGCCGGGACTACTTATACAGACAGCGAGAAACACATGATGCCTACACATGCATGCTTACAGGTACAAACATGTGCTTGCACTCTGTAACACTACTTCATTTACATTTTATAACCTAGGGGTAGGTTTGGACACATACTAGTGTGAAAACCAGATGCCAAAAACAGACTGGGGCCACGTACACACATACACAGACACAAATACCAAACATGCACAAAGACACACAAATACATCTCTACACCATCCCATTCTCTCCCTCTCCTTCTTTCTCTACCGATCTCTGTCCATACTTCTGAACCTCAGGGAGACATATTCTTTTTCATCTGTCAGTATGGATGGAAACAGACACGTTCAAAACACACAACAATGGCCTCACCAGCAGCGAGGAGGCGCTATGTTTTGTATGCTTGAAGCACTGCATTATCTCCTAAGTGTCTAGCAACCCCAGTATAGTAAATAATGGATGCTTCTCTTCCTTCTGAAAACCCTCTTTCACTTGGGGGAGCAGTCATGGTTTACCTGTATAAATGCCCTTTCTGTGTCTTTGGAGAAATGGATAGCACTAAAGGATGTGGGTCAGACGATTTCATTAGCACAGCATTTCTCTCTGTGTCTCCTTCAATCAGCCGTTTGACAGAAGCAATGTCACTCAAAATGTCTTACAGACACTTTCGTATGGAATTCTCTGAGAAAAAGGATGCAGAGACTGCTGATCCATAGCAGGGAATTCGTAAAATATTGCCCATATAACAAGAGGGCAGAAACGGTAATGCTCGAAAGGAGAGAGCGCAGTCACCTCTGAGATCAGCTGAATATCCTTGACGTCTTCAGCCTGGAGACTCTGTTCATTATGCCATTTGTTTCTGGGTCATCATCTACGAGGTCTCTATCCAACCTAAAAGCAGAGGACAGGCATAGTGTTAGTGCTATACATATACACTCAAACAAGCACAAATACTGAAGACAAAGATGCAAGGCATACATATCACTGTACAGATTTTACAGATGCTGCATAGAATCAGACTTTATTAGATGATGCGTCCTAAATGACTTATTAGATTTTGCTTATTGACCTACTTGTTTCTCTATACTTTGTCGATTAAAGCAAAACACATGGGAATGTAGAGGACTATTGTGTGCTGCTACGCACCTAAATCTCTTCGGTCTCCCTAGTTACATCGAAAGAGTTTCAGCTATTGTGAATTATTTACTTGATTCACCATTTGGGCCTTTAACCCCTCAGCAAATGCACAGACAGTCAGGGTTAAAAATACACTCCCACAGGACCTGAGTTTTCATGTATGTGCATGTGAGCGTGTGCATATGTGTGCATGTGTGTGGGCAGGGATGTGGGTTTTAAAATATAAAACAGTATATAACCCATAACACACAAAGCACCTGCCATTCTCTGTCTCTATCTCTCTGTCTCTCTCTCTGTCTCTCTCTCTCTCTCCCACACACACACGCACACAGGAACTATTCAGAGCATCATTTTGTGGGTTCTTTCTGAGTGAGAATCCAGGCCGTCCCAGATGGGTTTATTATAACACAGCTTTATCTGTGCATGAGCTACAAATGTGATTGTGTGAGTCGCTGTGTGTGAGAGTGTGCATTAGTGTGTGTGCATGTTTGTTACCGAGTAAGTGAGTCCTGACCTGTGCTTCATGACCTGAGTGAATGTGAGGGCGCACCTCTTTGTGTCTGTGGAAATATAAAATATATAGTACAAACATAAAACGGTGCCATGCCAAACCATTAGCAAGAAGGCATTTTCCTTGACAACTGTGTAAAACAACAGAAACTGGCTTACATGTACGTACAAGAGAGTATGTATACGATGGACATATTCATGTTGAGCCGCTGCGTCTCAGGCTGAAATAAAGGTGTCTGGGACACATGCCTGTCTGACAGCAAACTGATTGAGACTGCAGCAGCTTCCCTGTCTGACTGAGTGAATATTAATGTCACCAAGATATGTGGGCCTTAATGGATCTGCACACACACACAGCGACACCCGCTCTACTTGGCCATGTTGCCGTTGTATGTCCCTGGCATGCAGCAGTGTTGTCATGGATACCCCCAGACACATCCGCCATCCCATAAGCGGGGGGATGCTGAGCGCTTCAGAAGGGCTGGCGCCGAGCCCCCCCCCCCCCCACCCCCCCCCCCAAAACCCTCATCCCCCCCCCCCCCCCCCAAACCCTCATCCCCCATTCTCTATCCCCTTCCCCCAAAACTGAATCCCTGTTCCTTATTCTTCCCGAAAACCAGCTCAACCTCAAAAAGGTTCTCTGCCTGTCAACTGGGTTGGCCTGGAAGCACACAGCAGCTATCTTGTCCCACTGCTGAGGCCTTCATTGCTCTTAACTAGAATGAGTAGTAATGTAACTGGAACATGGATGGAGCAATGAAGAGTAAGATATAGACAGACAATACCACACCAGTACCAGTTTAAATCTTTCTGAGAAAACCTAAAATAGATGTTGAAGAGGTAAAATGAATGATGTTTTGTGTCTGTGTGTGTGTGTGTGTGTGTGTGTGTGTGTGTGTGTGTGTTAGCCCTCAGGGCTGTGGTTAAGCCTGTAGTTTATCCTGAACTGATCCTTTTCATTAGCTATTATCAATAATTCAACATTGCACTTGCTTTAATGGTTTAATGTGGGCAAACCCTCGATCCGCACACATCCACACTGACACACGCACACTCTACTTAATAGCACTCACTCTCTTGGCCCTAGATGTGTAAACGCTCCCATAACACAGTCAGTGCTAAAGCTTTCAAAGGTAAATATCTATCAATCAGAAAAATATTTTCATAGGATTCCTTGATTTAGAGAAGCAATAATTTATTTCCCTACAAACGTCTGTTTTACTGTTTATCAAGTTATATTTGCAATAAAAAGGCACATCAAATCCTCTGCTCTGAGATGAGGAAATGAAAGAGTTAATCTTTTATGACGTGTCCCCTCCCATCTGTGCTCCCTTTTGCCCTCCCTTTCATATTATCCAGTATGGCAGTGCTCAGTGCCTGCGCATATGCTGAAAAAAAGAATCCTGTTTGATTGGATGGCTAATTTGAAGTGTCAATTATTCTTATGCAAATTAAGGTACAGTTTCTCATGTCTGAAATGGGTTGAGGGCACAGATGGGTGTGCGTATGTGTGTGCACGCACAAATCTCCCTCCATAAATATACAGCGCCATTCCATCCCCCCTTCAAGTCTTCATCTATACCTCTTAGGGAAGAAAGCTGACATACAAAGACAGCCGGCATAATGGGACGAGGATATTTGCATGCACATTGTCCACACTGAACGCCAAACAGATCATAAATTGAGAATACAATGCCAAAACAGTAACAAAGGATTAGAAGTGCAAGTCAGCGCCCAAAACATTCAACAATATGGCAACATGGTTCCATGTTGTAATGTAAATAATGAATGATGGTGTGTAAACAGGAACACAACAAGATCTCGGATGTATCACAGGAAGTATTGTGGATGAACAAAACAATCTACTAAAGCTTTTGTCATTTAATCACTTTCCAGTAACATCCTCTCTTGCAATTGCCATACCAGAGGTACAAGCAAGAAATATAATCCCAGTGTCTGTGCAGAAACAGAGTGACAAGGCAATCCTATTTAAGGAAAAAGTGAGAGAGAAATTGAAAGCGACAGAGTGTGCCTAAAAACATACATTCGTTTCTAAGTACAGTATGTGAATGAGTGCACGCTCCTCTTTATGGTAATTAAAGCTTCGGACTCAAACCTGAATCTGGATGAGAGATTTAGACTGACAAAGAGGGGGAAAAAAGCAGCAGACAGACAGAGGACTCTAGAAATAGAGTCTTGTCTGACCCTCTCAGCTGATGGGGTGGTTCAAATAAAAAAAGGGCTTTTCAGTCCCAAAACAGGATCAAACAACCTGCTGTGGAGTCCGGTTACACCATAACAATGGCTTACATTCACTCTCAGCCTCAACACACAAGCTTTTACCTCAAAGGGTGTAGAGGGAGAGAGTAAGTCTGGTTTGGAGGGTGGGTGCATGCGGGTATGGAGGGGAGTATAGCGATATCTTAGACGATAATGGTGTTCAACAGATTAGATGGTATCAGCCTACCATGTTTGTTTTCAGCTGTCGGCTTCTGCAGCTCCACTGAGATCTATGGTCAACCCCGCAGGCACTCTCAATCTCAAGGAAACTTTTAGATATTGCCGGAGAAAGTGAAGTACTCTGATAGAGGACATTCACAACTCTTAGATAATGACAAGTGGTGAAGGGAAAGCAGCTGAGGACAGATGTTTGTCTATAAAGTGAAACACAGAGACATCTTTGAAACCTGAAAACCTGCCATTGTCAAATCAGTTATTGTTCCGACTGATCGCATTGAACATTTGATGAACTTTTAACTGACTGGTGAATGAATGAGCCGTTTTTTTACACTTCCCTTCATTAGTTCAGGATTTTAAACTCAGACATGTTGACAGATTTCTAAAGATCATATAGCCAACTGCAACATCCATCCCTGTAAGCTTCTCTGTCCACAGCAGACAATCTGATTAATCACAAACCCACAATAGGCAGCTACTATCTGCTAACCTCCTTAGACCCTGCTTCTCAAGCAATTTGTATTTGTTTTCCATTGGTTCAGTAGTTCTGAAGAAATTAGTATGCAGTCAGGGATGGGAGAGCTTGTCAAGATCAGGGGGAAATCTCAACCCACCCACAGGGAAGATCTACATTCATGAACAAGGTTGACAAGAAAGCTGACTAGTGTAAAGACAAGGAGCAAATAAAATGGCAGAGAACACCATGAATATTCTTTTTCATACTAAGAACACCTTCATAGTTGGGCCCTTTCTCTACCTGTCTGTCTTGTATGTCTGTTCATCTGTCAAGACACTCACTCTCTCTTTTTCTTTCGCACACCCTCTAGTCCCTCTTCTCTTTTTCAAAACTATGTGTCATGCACGTCAAAATGCTACGGCCCGTCCTTTTGAGGGTGTTCTGCTGGACCATGGAGCGAATAAACATCCATGTCAGGAGAAAGCGATCTGGGGCCCTTCTCTCACTGAGCCCAATCTCTCCTGGGAAACACACAGCTCATACAATGGATAGAGGAGGCCTTTTGTTGAGTCTCTGGGAGCTGCAGGGCTGGTTCTGGATCAAACAGGGGTGTGTGTGTGTGTGTGTGTGTGTGTGTGTGTGTGTGTGCGTGTGTGTCTGTGTGTGCATTTCTGCATTTTGCACACGCACACACATACACATTCACAAAGCAAAACACACTGACATGCGAGAGTGAATACACACACCTTTGCCAGAATCACAGACTTTCCTCATCTCCCTATACTCAGTGTGACTAAGTAAACTTCTTCACCCTTTTGCAGTAGTTACCGAGGGCAGGAAGATGAATTTGAAATAGCCAGCAGGAGAAGAGAGAAGAGACAAAGAAGAGAAGGGTGACGTAAATCAGTCTTGGACTGATTTAGACTGGTTTAGTGTCAGTCTAAAGGGGCTTTCTGCTGTACTATATACAAATCACAGTTCAAAGCCTGTGGTTGGGCTCCCTCCTGGGGTCCAAGGCAATGAAATCCTGCAGGGAAGTGTCTAATGCTTGTGGGTAGACTGTGTGTGTGGCACAGTTATTTATCACATTGGCTTGAGACATTTCTCAAATATATGATCTAATATTGGCATGGGATAATGGGAGAGGGGCTGCACAGAACGGCAACACAAGAAGAGAACCAATATTAAAAGACTGCAATTGTACTCAGGTCCACAAAACAAAACAAAACAAAAACATTCGGGCATCAGTCGAGTGATTGCACACTAGATGCACATTAGTAAAATGCTGTATGTAGCACTATCAGGTAAGTTATCTCACCATTGTCTAACA